AGAAATTTTCATCCATGTTTGGCAGGCTCCAACAGAGAAAGAGGAGCCCAGGGTCAGCAACTAAGCCCCTGGCTGGCAAGCACAAGGTCCTGGGTTTGATCCCTGGAGAGAGAGAGAGAGAGAGAGAGAGAGAGAGAGAGAGAGAGAGAGAGAACGGCGGAGGGCCTGAGGGAGGAAGACGCTCAGCTCATGGGGGCAGGAGGGCAAGGCAGGGAGGGCAGGGAGGGTGGCCAGGCTCCACCTTCCAACAGCAGACTCAGCTCCTGAGCGCACCGCTGGATGCCTCCGTGCTGAGAACAGGCCCCACGAGCCAGTGCCCTCCACAAGCTCCCGGGCGTGCAAGAGGCCTCGCGATCTAACCACAGTACTGGGTCAGCCTGGCCCAGCTCCATGGGTAACTGTGCGGATGGTCAACAGGTCTACACAGAGAACGGAGCAGAATCTGACTCCAGGGTCAGGAGGCCAAATGGGGCAGACACAGCGCGGAGACAGAAGATGCCAAACCATTTTATCCTGTGCCAGCCTCAGACCTCCACGGGCCCAAGTGGGGAGTCAGTATTTTCTGGAAAAGTGACCTTCCAGTCCCCAAGAAGCAGCCTAGGCTACTGCATTTTGATGACAGATAGACCAACCACAAAAGATAAAAATCCATGAATTTGGATGCTATTTGCTTATTTTTTGAAATCTTTGCTTTGAACTGTCAGGCAGTTCCCGTACTCTGACCAAGTATGTGCTCTCTGGTGAACAAGTTGCGTCACCTGCGGCCAGCGACACATGCCGAGCAAGCCTTCCGAATGTAGGTGAGGGCCTGTGCCCAGGTGGATGCAGAGGTGTTCTACGTCGTGTTTCAAATTTCATTTTATTTTAAAGAGTAAAAATAGAAGACAAATAAAAAAAGGACGAAAGCCGGATAACATACAATAATACCTATGCTACAAATTTTCAAAACAGGAATAGCTAATTAAATTATCTATTTTATCATCAAATCTGTGGCTCAGATTAACAGATATAGTTATGCAAGATAGGGAAAATGATTGAATATTGACACTTGCTTTCAAGAAATCTTAATTTTCCTTGTCTTTTTTATTGTTTTAATTTATTTTAAAGAGAGTATAATAATCCATAAGACACTAGAAATGGTACACATTTAGAAGACCAAGGTGAGAGGCATTCAATCACGGGGTTTGCATTACACGCTGCGGCCCTCGGTGCAGCTGCGCAGGTCACAGAAGCCAGCATACAGGATTAGTCAAGGTGAAAATTCTAAACACTAACTGTTACTTTCAAAAAACTGATGTAAATTATGAGTACAGTCATCTCAGCCATCCTGTATACATGCTTGTTTGGTTTTCCCACCTACCTGTTTCCTACGTTTTCTCCTTTCTCTCATCTTCATTGTTTAATCCTTAAGTTCAGTTTCTTTCCATTTTCCTATATCTATTACACCTTTCAGGTTTTATTTACTCCTTCAGGTTCTTACACTCAGGGCATCTTACATCTCGAGTGTAGAAATGTATTCTGGAACTCAGCCACCCAGTCTCTTTGTGCAGTAATAAACTGTCGGACTCTGTTCTGTACACAAGCTTGTTGCATCTATTTCAAAACGGAGCTGAAGCGTCACATTGGACAGTTGGTCCACCGGCGTTCAGTTGCTTCGATGCTGTTGCATGGCGGAAAAACACCAGTTTGCCAGCACAGGAACTCTGCTCAAGAGCAAAGTAGGGGAGCCTTGAAAAAGCATTGTAAGTTCACAATAGAGAAATGGCTAGTATAATGTTTGGACTTCAAAAAGACAACGTCGGCCTTTTATATGGTGAAGAAAAACAAAGTAGTATCCACACTGCCAACGTTACACCGTGATGGTAAGATTGATAAGGAAGCCAGGTCTGGCGGTGTACACCTACCATGCCCGTACTTGGGAGGCTGAAGCAGGGGGATCTGTGAGCTCAAGGTCAGCCTGGGCTACACAGTGAGTCCAAGTCCAGCCTGGGCTACATGGCCAAGACCTAGTCTCCGACAGCAAGATGTACAGTGAATCCTCAACATAAATGAAGCCAGAATTGGTCACATTTTACAACAAAACAAAAGGTAGAGTAGATGTTACTGAGGAGTTATGCAGCAGCTGCGATACCCTCAAAACACAGAGTTGCGGGTGACCATGTTTACACCACCCTAACCAGGCGAGGCTAAACAGCTTCACATTTAGCACGAAAATAACGGAGGGAGCGCCTGGGCCCGGCAGGGCTGGGAGCTGGAGACACGTGGACGAGCGCGCTAGAGGGGGGGGCACCGGGCTGCGCGGCGAGCGAGGCCTCCGCCGCTGATGGGCTGATGGCCGTGCGCGCCTCGCGGCCTGGATCTTCTTCGGCGCTCGCACTCGCGGCTGAAGGCAGGGAAGGTGCAAACCTCGGTCCTCGTGAAGCACCTGCGTGCCACCAGTGCGCTTCTCCAGGACTTCCTCGTACTGTTTTTGTGTCAATAAACCCTCCGTTACGCTTTTACTTTCCTCAAATTTGGGTAAAAGTGAAGCCACATTAGTATGCAAAGCTGTAAAAGGCTGAAGTGAGCAACTTCTGACATTGCCAGCCCTGCAGATAGCCCGCTACTAGTATGACTGCTGGACCATATTGGATTATTGTGCTGAATTCAGCACCTACAATATTTAAATGGCAATGGAATACCCATCTCTGACAAAACTAAACAAGGAAGGCGATACAAATGAAGGACCATTTTGTATCTGTATATTCAAAGTAGTTAGGATACATATACAGCTAGTTTCTCTTAATCCAATGAGAAGATTTATACTAATAGTGTTTGGACAGGATATCACGTCTGCATCTTGTACTATGAATAACCACTATGAAGACAACAATATGCAATGTATTAATTATTGCAACTGTCCTCCTAATCGGTTTTGAAACTGTCTCATTGCTATTGTTTCTCAATAAAATTTTTTTAAAAAACAGTTTACTTCTAGCAAAGAGGTTACTGGAGAATATGTCACTCAGATGCATAGATGCCTTGGAACAGAACAAAGATGGTCACATCATTTAAACCAAAACACAGCTTGTGGTGGCTTAATATTAAATACACTGAATTTCAACTAAAAAGAAAATTACAAGCACAAAATACCATTGAGAAATTTTCTTAGAAGATTGGGACTGGAATTAATAAATGGTCAATTACAATGGAGGAAGAATATTACCCACCCAAAGAGCTCTGCGAGAGAATTGTGGAGCAGGGCAGCGAAACACCAGAAGTAACTCCTAGAAAACAGGAAGGCCAGCAAGATGTCAAGTATGTCCGACCAAAGAAGACAGAAAACCAAGGCGTGTGCTGTCTGTGTAAGCGAGACTTGTGACCGGAACACGCTGTGCTAGCGCGTGGAAGCTGCCTTAGGTATGGTAACTGAAGTAAAGATTATTTTTGTGGTAGAGTTGCACTTGTATTTCTGTGTAGTTCATTTAGGAATTTGTTTCTGCTATTTTTTTATATATTTGGAAAGCAAACAGTTGATGTTTATTCTAAATACTCAGTACATTTATTTCTCTGATATTTTGTTTTCCTGCTAAGCACACATTATAAGCTATAATAAGATCCTCCTGACGAAACAGGAAAACCAGAGAGGTGTTAAGTGTGTCTTGCCAAGAAGAGACAGCAAATGGACCGCGCTTGCTGCCAGTGAAAGTGACACTCCAGTAGGGAGCAGGGTGTTCTCACGTGTGACCAGTGCCCTCGTGTGACAACTGAAGTGAAGTTTATTTTACGTATTTTACGTATACATATTTTCCCTGTACTTCACATATGAAATCATTTATGTTTTAGATTTTATAAACAAATAAGCAATTGATGTTGAAAATTTGATGTTTACTATGAAAACTCATTGCATACTATAAATTTAATATTTCATTAAGTACATACTGTATCATATAATAAAATTAATAAATTAAAATAAATAATTCATCAGTAGAAATACTTCTAAAAGTTAAACGTGGGTGTTACACACCCACTGAATGCTCCCTTTTTGGAAACTTCACGTGACCCCCACAGAGATGAATTCACCATCCTTAGGTGATTTTTTACTTTCTTCAATCAGATTTGTTATAAAAAAGGATGAACAAAAAGATTTGTTATCATACATTCATCTGTTACCATACATGAGTCCATTTGAGATGAAATTTCTTTAAAAACTGTTGAGATGACAGATCTTTTTTCAGTTCCACTTTTTGTCTTTCAAAACATTCCATGATCTCCGTCGAATGTGGCAATAAGCTCTTGTGTGGTTTTGGTTTCTGGTACCAAGAATCAAACTCGGGCCTTTGCACTAGCCAGGCAGGAGCAGCAGCACTGAGCCAGATCCCCAACCCAGCAACGAGTTCTTACATACCATATTTTTGCAAATTGTGAATTTTTAAAATTGACATAATTTCCCTACAACAAGCATGTGCCTTATGATATAGCTCAACAAAAATTTTGTTGAACATTTTCCTTCTGACATAATTTTTAGTTTGTTGTTTTGTTTTGAAAGGATGTTGAAGCCATGCTGGAAATTAAATTTTAAAACATCGGTAAGTAAGCAAACTTCGTTCAGGCATGGTGGTGCGCGGCTGCAGCCTCAGCCCTGGGAGGCTGGGGCAGAGGATCCTCGAATCGGAGGCTGCAAAGTGAGCTCAAGGCCGGCTTGAACTAGATAGTAAAGCCCTGTCTCAAAAAGAAAAATAGAAGCAGACTTTATTTTTCCAGTCTGAAAATCTTTTGATACACGTTTGTACTCTATACCACAACCCTCAAAATTGGGATGGGGCGGGGCTCCCCAGGGCTGCCAGCTGGGGGCGGGGCTCCAGAGCGAGTCGTGAGGGCGGGACCCGCGAGGCGAGACGTGTGGGCGTGGTCACGATGGGCGGGGTTCCGGGCGGGTCTACGATGGGCGTGGCGCGCCGAGACAGGACTGCGGAGTGGGCGGGGCCGGGCGTGGTCTCCGGGGCTTCCAGCGCCGCGCAGTGCGCAGGCGTGCGCCGGCGGCCGGCCGGGACGTTGGTGCGGCGGTTAGCTGAGCCGCCTCAGGGCTGCGCTCGCTCCAGCCGCGCAGGGTTGCAGGACCAGCTGAGTGGGTGCAGCTCGTGGCCGGGCAGACCGGGGCCGGGACTGGGACCCTGACGGGCTGGGAAGCGCCCGGGAAGCGGAGGCCGGTGGGCAGGACTCGGAGGTCCCGGGTGTCCGCGGCTTGTGGCGTCGGGTCGGGCCGGGCGGAGCGGAGTCGGCAGGCCGCCTTCGTCCCCGGGCTGAGGGCGGGGCGCGCCCTGTGGCCCAGCCCCTGCCCTGGAGGCGCGGCCGGGCTCCCCAGCCTGGCCACCCTCCAGTCCCTGCTCACCCGTAGCCTGGAGACATGGAGCCGGTGCTCGTGGTCCACGGCGGCGGCGCCAGCTGCATCTCGTGCGAGCGCCGGCAGCGCGTGCGCCAGGGCGTGATCCGGGCGGCCTCGCTGGGCCACGGCGTGCTCAGGGCCGGGGGCAGCGCCGTGGACGCCGTGGAGGCGGCGGTGGCGGCGCTGGAGGACGACGCCGAGTTCAACGCAGGTGGGCGGCGGGCGCGGGGAGACTTGGTCCTGTTGCACCGTGTGCCTCCTCGGCGTTGGCACGCAGCGTGTATCACCCCTCTTTTTGCCCCTCCCTTCTACACCTCTCCAACTTTAGATCTGCTTCCCTGTAGCAAAAGATGTGTCTTCTTTTACTGAGCTCTTAATTTACACCTTGGGGTTCTTATATAAGAGAAAGCATGCCATATTTGAGCTTGTGTGTCTGATTTGCGTCACTTAGGAGTCTGGCCTCCAGGTGCATCCATTCTCCTACAGATGATTCAGTTGTATCCTCCTTTGTTTCAGAATTCCACTCCACTGCGTGTAAGTGGAACGTTTATCCGTTCATCTGTGGATGGACAGCAAGTTTGTGACAGTTAGCAATTATGAATCGTAGTGCTATACACGTGGCTCTGCATGGATCATTGTACCGTGATGTCGCTAACGCTTTCAGGAGAATAGCGAAAGGAGAATAATTGCGTTGAGTGGGATTTTTACAATTCAGGTTTTTTGTTTTTTTGTTTTTTTTAAAATTTATTGCGTGCGTGGGTGTGTGTGGGTGTGTGTGTGTGGCCAGCTCAGCCCACCGGGGGGCGGGGCTGGCTGGCATGTGGTGCTGGGGGATTGAACCGCGGTCCCTGTGTTTTTGCTTAGCTAAGCTTGTACTAAGTAGGTGCTTTAGACCACTGAGCCATCTCACCAGCCCCATCAGGTTTTTTTTGTTGTTGTTGTTGTTTGTTTGTTTGTTTGTTTTTTTTTTTTTTTTTTTTTGGCAGAACTGGGGATTGAACTCTCAGGCCCTTGCACTTGCCAGAGAAGCGCTTATTCCACTGAGCCATCTCCCCGGCCCCTACACTTCAGTTTTTGAGGACTCCATGCTGAGCTTCACAGTGGCTGTATTAGTTCACACCCGCACCGTGGGAGTATAGGAGTACTCCTTATTCCCTGCAGCCTAATTGCTCGGTTTCTTGGTGATACCTGTCCTAGGTACTTTCTCCTTGCTCGAGCAAAATGCCCACAATCCAGAAACTAAAGGAGGGCTGGTTTATTTGGCTCAAGTTTGTAGATGTTTGAGTCCACAGTTGGCTGGTTCCAAGGCAGAGCAGCATCACTGAAGGAGTTTGTGGCAGGGTCCGCAGGAAGCAGCGAGAGGCTGCTTTTCCCTTTATATTACATCCAGGCTACAAGCTTATTGGTGATGGAACAGACACAGGGTGGGGCTTCTGCCCTCAGCCAGTCCATTCAGCCACTCCCAGAACTATCCTAAATCTATCGGTGTGCCTTCCAACCCACCCACCAGGCTCTGCTCTGAGTCTGACCTGCCAGGATGAAGCAAGTGAATGTAGGAACCAGAGGCACAGAGGTTAACAGCCCCAGAGCCAGGGCTGTGCACTGTGCAGGTGGTAGGAAAGCGGGGAGCCGGGCTTGAGGGGAGCAGAGCACACGGCAAAGGTGCAGGCAGCAGGAGCTGGGGTGTGGCCAGGGAGACCTGGCAGCTCTGTGAGAAGGGCCATGGAGAGGAGCCCAGCTGGAGGGCGAGATCTGGGGCCAGGTCAGCGGACTGAGGGCTGCTTATCCCAGAGGCCACAGGTGCTCTTAGCCTGCCCGTACTGCAACTATAAAATGACCGACTTGGGTGCTGAGAAGGCAAGCAGGGCCAGGAGCACGGCTCCGTGCTGGTGTTCGCCTGGTGTGTGCATTCCATCCCCAGCTCCACGGAGAGACAAGAGTGGGAAAGAAAGAAAGAAAGAAAGGGGTGTTGGGAAGGAAGGACGGAGGGAAGAAAAGAAAGCAAAGCGAAGCAGGAGTCTGTGGAGCCGTGCCGTGGAGGTTCCAGACAGGGCTCCTGCAGGTGGCCTGTGGCTGGAGGAGAGCAGAGGCCGGGGAGACCAGGCACAGGCACAGTCAGCTCACTCCCAGGAGTGGATCCGAACCCACAGCAGCCGTGCAGTGCACCCCCTCGCGCCCTGGGACCTGGCTGCCAGCCCCGGCCTCCTCCAAGCCTTCGGGCGCCCAGTCAGATCTGAGGCTCAAGGGTCCCTGCGGCAGTGGGATAGCACGTGAAGGGGCTTCATTAGAGGAGCAGCCGCAGCGTCTCTCAGTTCTGCGTCCCTGCGTCCCAACTCTGCCTTGGTGCAGGCTGCGGCTCCGTGCTGACAGCAGATGGAGACGTGGAGATGGACGCCAGCATCATGGATGGCAGAGACCTGGGCGCGGGAGCCGTGTCCGCCGTGCGCTGCATTGCAAACCCCATCAAGCTGGCGCGGCTGGTCATGGACAAGGTGTGTGTGCCCGCAATGTGCTCCTGGGGGTGGGGGTGGGGGTCCTGCTGGGCTTCGGGCTGGCAAGGCTGCCACCCGGGAAACCCCGAGGTCACGGCCTGTGAGAAGCAGGCACAGCAGCCCCGCTGCCCGAGCCTCAGACAGCCACAGTTGGCCTCGGCAGGGTGCTGAGCCCTGCCTTGAAATCACGTGACACGTGGGACTCTGCCAGCTGTGTGTGCCTCTTCAGCCTGCAGTGTCCTGCGCATGACACAGCACATGCGCACTGAGCACATACTGTAGCACTTGTTAAATAAGAACCATTATGTTTTCTGGTTTTGCTTTTTGTTTGTGTATTTTGCAATACTTGGGGTTGAACCGGGACTACATCCACAAACCATTTTTTATTTTGAGATGGGATATTGCAAACTTGCCAGGGCTGGCCAGATAGCTCAGCAGATTAAGGCGCCTGCTTAGGCAGACGCAGGGACTGGGGTTTGATCCCCTGACCTGCGGTGCCAGCCCCACCCCTGGGGCACCCTGTGATGGTGATTGAGACTGGGCCTGGTGGCGCACGCCTGTAATCCTAGCGCTTGGGAGGCTGAAAACAAGAGGATCACTATGAGTCCGATCTACATGGTGAGACCCTGTAGACCCTGTACTAAATACATTAAGGAAAGAAAAAAAACTTGCCAGACACCCAGGCTTGCTGGCACACACCTAATTAATCTCAGCACCAGGGATTCAGAGACAGGAGGATCACTGTGATTTCAAGGCCAGCCTGGGCTACATAGTGAGTTCAATACCAGCTTGAATTGCATAGCAAAACCCTGTGTCAAAAAAAGAAGGCAGGGGAGATAGCCAGCAAGGACTTGGGTTTGACCCCGACATCACATGCCGTGTCTGGGCATGACATGATGACGTGTCATGGTGACCCACACCTGTAATCCCAGCACTGGGGAGGCCAAGGCAGGAGGATCACTGAGTCTGAGCTGTATAGTGAGACCCTGGACCAAATAACAAAAAAAAAAAAAAAAAAAAAAAAAAAAAAAAAAAAAAAAAAAAAAGAATTTAAAAATAAGTCCAGAAATTACAATCCTTCTCCCTCAAGAGTTAAGATTTCTAGACCTTAGGTTTGGTGTGAGTCACAGCCCTAGTACTCTTCTGTCAGTCGGGTCTTTGATGAAAATGGAAGAGCTCAGCCAGGCTCTTCAGCTTTCAGAAAAACAGGCGTGGGGAGCACCCCCCAGGGGTAGGGTGTGTGCCTCCGTGCATGAAGCCCTAATCTGGTCCCCAGCACAAGGAGGAAAGGTAACCCCGGCCAGTGTGTTATATGAAGTCAGTCAGAGCCCACAGAAATGATGGGCAGACTGGATTAACATAGCCAACGACTCACCAGCACAGTCCCTAACCGTGGACACTTCTCACATTTACTGAGGGCTAAAAACAGGCTAAGGAGGGCGCGTCACTAATCTGGTGTAAATGAGCTATTTCCATCGCCTTCTGGTGGGCACCGAAGTATAAGTGTACATATCACTGGTTGGTAGTGTCTCGGTAAAGGAGCAAAGACAGGGTGCCCCCAGGACTCATTCCCTGCATCTGGCTTGCCGACGCTCCCTTGGGCTCTGCTCGTGGGTCCTTGCTCCCCGGGGACAGTGGGCTTCTGGCTCACGTCGCTTTCTGTGCCAGTGGGATTGGCGTCTGCGGCCCTTTGTTGCACGCAGTGGCGACAGAGAACAAGATGAGAATCTTTTCAGCCCAGGCGCTGTGCGGGCAAGGTCCTGTAATCCCAGCTGCTCTGGGCTGAGGCAGGAGGATCGCAATTTCACCACCACCCCAGGAAACTTAGAGAGATCCTGCCTCAAAAAATAAAATAAAATAAAAAAATAAAATAAAATAAATAATAAAATAAAAAATAAAATAAAATTTTACCAAAAAGGAAACCTCTCTATTTTCCTTTGCTCTCTTGTCAGACCCCACACTGCTTTCTGACTGACAGAGGTGCAGCCAAATTTGCAGCAGACATGGGGGTCCCGGAGATTCCTGGGGAGCAGCTCGTGACGGAGAGGAGCAGAAGACATCTGGAGAAGGAGAGGCGAGAGAAAGGCACCGCAAGCCCTGACTGCCCCACGTGAGCAGCCCCTGGTTCCAGGAGGTCATGGGGGACATGTGGCGCACGCTACCTGGTTGTGTCCATTTCTTGTGGATTTCAAGCCCAGCAGCCACAGCAGCTGCTCCGCTGGCCCCCAGTTGGCCCTCGGTCCTGGCTCCTTCGTGTGGTAACGGCAGCCAGCCCACAGTGCTCTCCGCTGCGTGGGGTCACTGGAGAGCGCTCTGGCATGAAGCCACATGTGCCTGCTGCTTCCTCAGGTGTTCGTGCTGACCGAGTCCTGGGCAAGCTCCTGCCTTTGGATTGCGTTCCTCCTCTCCTTGGTTGTGGCGTAGTCACTCGGGAGCCCAGAGTGACCAGGAGCGATCCTTCTTGTGCCCCAGCACAAGCCTGCCCCACTTGGGACCATTTGCATTCTCTGCTGCCGCAGATGTTCAGCATCGTTGCAGACTGTTTCTGTTTTGTTTTCCTCAGAGAGGTCTGGCCGTTTAGGGGTACCCATTTTTGCATTGGTCCCTTTTCTGAGGTCCAGCTCTTTGGAGCTCTTCTTACGTGCTGGACGTCGGCCCCGTCCGAGGGTGGCAAAGGGCTTGGCCCGTTCTCGGGCCGCCACCTCGCGTGGTGGCTGCTCCGCTTGCTGAGCACGAGCATTTTGATTTGATGTAATCCAGCTTGAACCCTCGCACAGCTGGGATTCTGGTCGGAAAGTCCTTGCCCGTGCTGTGCTGCCAAGAGGTTACCTGCTCTGTCTTCCAACAGACTGCTTAACGTTTATGTCTTTGATCCAGTTGATGTTAGTTGAGTGCCTGGTGAGACGCATGTGGATCCAGATTCAGCCTTCTGCGTGCAGACAGCCAGCTGTCCTAGCACCTTTCCCTGAAGAGGTGATCCTTGCGCCAGCATGTTGTTGTCCCATTTGGCGAAGAACAGATAGCTGAATGCGCCGAGTGGCTCCTGCGTCCTCTGCTCCCTTCCGTTGAGCCACAGTTGTTCTTGTGCCAGACCATGCTGTTTATCGCCGTAGCTTGGTAATGTAACTTGAAACCCAGGATCATGGCGCCTCCTGCTGTGCGGTACCCAGACTGCTTCGGTTATTGTGGGTTTTCTCTTGTTCCATATGAATTTAGCATTATTTTCTCTCGTTCTGTGAGAAATCCTGTTGGTGCTGTGAGCAGGATTACAGCAAGTTTCTGTATCAATTGTGAAAGTATGCCCGTCTTGACATAGTGGTTCTGCTTGCCCAGGGACAGAGTGTATCTCCCTTTTTCTTTGTTTTTGGTTTTGGTTTTTGAGATAGAGTCTCACTATGTAGCTGAAGCTGGCCTCGAACTTACAGTGATCCTCCTGCCTCAGCCTCTCAAGTGCTGAGATTGCAGGCGTGTGTGCCACATATGGCTCATCTTTCCATTTTAGGTGTCCGTTTTGGTTTCCTTTTTCAGAGCACCAGAATTTTTATTATAGAGGTCTTTTGCTTTCTTGGCTGAATTAAATCCTAAGTACTAAAGTGTTCTTGTAACTATCATGAATAATATCATTTTCTTAACTTTTTCTGGGTGGATCCATTATCCGTGTATAGGAAGGCTCCTGGTTATTGATACACTGCTTTTTTTTTTTTTTTTTTGTACTGGTACTTGAACTTGGGACCTTGTGCTCGCCAGGCAAATACTTATTCTTCTGAGCTCTCTCCCCAGCCCACGTGCAGTGATTTTGTATCCTACTTAATGTGTTGAATTCTAGGAATCCTTTGGTGGACTGTTTTGGTTCTTCTCTCCGAGGGAGGGAGCATGTCATTGACAAACAATGACAGCTTGCTGTCTCCTTTACTAACCCTGTGCCTATCCCTTTTCTTCTGATTTTATTTATTTTTATTCTTTTCATTCAGGGTCTCACTACACAGCTCAGACTTGTAGTGATCCTCCTGTCTCAGCCTCCCCAGCACTGGGATTATAGGTGTGCGCCACACGCCCAGTTGGGGCTGGGCCTGGGTTCTAGGGCTGGCACAGTATGCAGTACCAGGAATCAAACCCAGGTCCTTGCACTTGCCAGGCAGGCACTTAGACCACTGAGCTATCTCCCCAGCCCTCTTCTGATTCTAAAGGGAAAAATTTCGGTTTTTCTACATTTAATATGGTGTTGGCAGTAGGTTGGTCATAAATAACTTTTATCAGATTGGGGTAAGGTCCTGCTATATCTATTTTCTTTAGGGTTTTTATCCAGAATGGATGTTGGATTTTGTTGAAGGCCTTGTCAACATCTGTTAGTGATGAGCCTGTGGTTTCTTTCCTTGTGTTTATGTGGTGTATTTCATGGATGGATGTTGAACCATCCTTGCCCTTAGCTGGAGCCTACTTGGTCACGATTTCCTCGATGCTCTTTGCCAGTCTCTTGAGGATTTTTGCATCTGTGCTTGTTAAGGACATCGGCCCGCAGTTTCTTGTCTCAGCCGGGACCTTGTCTGGTTTTAGAGTCAAGTAGATTTGCTGCCTTCTGAAATGAGTTCGGAAGTATTACTTGCTCCTTTCATTTAAGGAGTACTGGTGTTACATCTTCCCCAACGTCCTTGTCGAGCTCAGGGGTGATCTATCAGGTCCTGGGATTCTCTTGTTTGGCAGGGCTTTAATTCCTGCCTCAGCTGCCCTGCCTGTCTCAAGAGTCTCAGATGCGCCTTGGTTCAGTTTTGGCGCATCATGTGTATCTAGGGATTTGTCCCTCCAGAGTGTTCAATTTGTTGTAGTGCAGTTTTTCATAGTTACTAAATTTCAGCAGTGTCCATTGTATTTTTGCCTTCTTCTTTTTTCTTTTTATTTTAGGGAAGCGTCTCCAGGGTGTTCAGGGTCTCACTACTAGATCAGACTCGTAGTGATCCACCTGCTTACAGCCTTCCAAGAGCTGGGATTACAGGCGCGCACCACCACAGCCAGTCTCAGTTCTGTCTCAGCGTGCCTTGGGTGTGGGGCTGGCACAGCAGGCCCAGGGATCGAACTCCCAGCCCCTGCGCCAGCTTGCAGGCACTTTAATCTGCTGAGCTATTTGGCTGGCCCTTTTTTTTCCCCCATTAAAAAAAAACCAACCTTTTATTTATTGATTTGGTACAGGGTCTCATGTAATTCAGACTCGCAGTGACCCTCCTGTCTGAGCTCCCCAGTGCTGGGTAACAGGCATGTGCCACCACGCCTGGTTTCAGGGGCCAGCGTGGCGCACCAGGGTTCCAGGGCCAGAATGGCCTGTGGTACCAGGGATTGGACCCAGGTCCGTGTGCTCGTTTAATTAACTTCTGCTGTCATGATGTCAATCCTTGCACTACGCTGAGTTTTGAGCTTCTCTTGTCCCTGTAGGAGGTATATCTTTAGAGCATTTGAGTTCAGTCTGTTCTGCTAACATGAACATTCAGCAGTGAACCTCTCTCTTAGTACTGTTCCCAACGTTTCTTCTAGATTCTGGTATGCACTGGCGTTATCATTTGACTCTGGGAATTGGTTTCTTTCTTGATTTCTTCTGTGATCCATTGAATATTCTGGAGTGTGTTATTTAATGACCAGGAGTTTGTCAATTACTGTGGTGTTGGGGGCTTGGTTCTTGTATTTTTCTTTTTTTAATTTTTAAAAATTTTTTGGCAGAACCGGGGATTGAACTCAGGCCCTTGTGCTTGCCAGGGAAGTGCTTATTCTACTGAGTCATCTCCCCACCCCTGTATTTTTCTTTTTTTGAAAGAAATTAGTAGTATAATTGGTAGTATACTTGGGATGGTTTTTATTCTTTTGTATATACACGGACTACCTGACTAGCAAACAAGTTCCATTCCAAGACAATTGTGTATAAGTCGGATTCACTCAAGAATGATTTTTATTTAATAATGATTATTTTTAAAACCCAATCTAGAATGTTCTGATTCTCAGCTCAGATAATCATATGAGTTCCTGTTCTGTTGAGGGGGAAGGGACACCTGAGCTCTGAGCTAGGATGGCATGTGCAAGGCCGGGCTGTCGTGGGTGTGTGGGCCACACACTGTGACATCCTCGGTGATGTGACGCTGGCCACACTCTGACCTCCTGCTGCCACTAGCCTTAGCCAGCTCCACATGCAGTGGCCCCAGGATTGCATGGGCTCAGAGTGTCTGCTGCCCGCTGGGATGCCCTCCCTTCTGCAGGGTCTCTGCCCCAGCTGACCCGATGCTGCTCGCCTGATGTGTTGGTCTCCTCTCTTCTGTTTTCTTCTGTGTTTTGCCCTCTGAAGCTTTCTGGTTCCATTGGAGAAGGGCCTGTGTTCCTGTCATTTCCCACTGGGACCTAGCACACAGGACAGTCCCTTGGGGCTGGGGAGCAGGATGGGTTTTGGCACAAAGTGACCCCACCTTTTACTCAAAAGTTCATAATAAATGTCAAGGGAAAAATTAACTTACTCCGTCCTCCCTACAGCCCACACAGGAAGCAGGCTCCAAGGGGGGCCACGGTTGGGCATCTGGGACACTTGGGCAGGACCCTAGACTGGGCCTGCCCCACACCCACAACCTTGATCCTCGATTTCTTCTTGTGCTGGTGGAGCCTCAGAGTGTGGGGCGCAGGTGCCCCAGGGATTCTCACACTGGCCCGAGTCTGAGATGAGCTCCTGTGTGTCCCGTCCCCATGCTCTTCATGGGGACAGAGAGACGGTACAGCTCCAAGCCCCCAGCTCGGAGCGGGGCTGTGGCTGTGGTGCACTGTCGGGTGGGAGTTGGGGAACCCACTGCAGTGCACGTGGGGAGTGTGGAGGAAGCAGCCCTGGGTGCAGAGCCTGCAGTGTCAGGCGCTGTTGATACGCAGCAAGGACCCCAAGGTGGCTGTGAGCTCCCGGGCACTGGCAGGAGCGCTTCTTCTCCTCAGCCTGTTGCTTTCTGTTATTTTTGGCAGGAACTTGGGAACCGTGGGTGCTGTGGCCCTGGACTGCAGAGGGAACGTGGCTTATGCCACCTCTACAGGGGGCATTGTTAACAAGATGACTGGCCGCGTCGGGGACTCGCCATGCGTAGGTAGGATTAGAGCACGTCTCTGTCCTGCCCCTTCCCCTCCCTGTCACCAGGGCCCCTTGTTCTCCCCATTTCTTTCCTTCCTTCCCTGCGGGGCAGTTTCCAGGTCTCCTGGAGTGCAGCAGGGCACAAGGGGCATTGCGGGCAGTGCCTGCCTGGAGAGGTTGTTGGCATCCAGCAGGTGTCCTGTGCCTCCTAAGCTGCGATCTGGGTACCTTGGGGCAGAGAATAGAGATTGTGGAGCGGACCTGTGTCCCATTCAGCACGGGTGGGGTCTGCAGGCTGGCAGAGGACTAGCCCGGGTCCCCCAACGCTGGCCCTCACTTACCCTTCCCCAGTAGGCAGCTGGACATGGCAATGTGAGCCTTGAGTGAGTGGCACAAGAAAGACACAGCCCTACAGCTGAGAACAGAGGGGAATGTCCCCAGGTGACTGCTGACGCAGTCACAGTCCCTGTGCAGACTTGCAGAGTGCCCTGGGAATTCCCACACTCTCTGAGATGACTGAAGCTGCAGGACAGAGCTGCCGCCTCCGCCCACAAGAGCAGCTCCTCCTTCCTGCGGGACCTGAGTGCCCAGCTTGAGCTCCTGCAGGCCAAGCCCGTCATGTCCGACATGGGCTGGCGCTGCTCTCTGCAGGGCAGGAGCTCTGGCCTGGGCTGCAGTGTGGCGGCACGGCTGCCACCTGGCCGGGCAGTGCTGGAAGCGCACCACAGACTCCAGTCTCAGGGACGAAGCCCTGGAGAAAGTAGAATCCCAAATCCCTGGTCCTGCTTCTGTACCAGGTGTGGTGGCCCAGAGGACCTTGAGGGGGACACCCTGGCCCACAGTGCCTCCCTCAGGTGGAACCTCTGCCCGGGGCACGACCAGGCAGGAGGCGCCTGGCCCCTCTGGGCCTGCGGAGAGGGAATGGAGACAAAGACTCAGCTGCGTCCAGTGCCAGGGCCTCCCTGACCCACAGGCTGCCACTTCCTCGTGCAGCAGAAGCTTGAGTGAGACAGGGACAGAGGTCCCCTCCCTGCAGCAGTGCACGTCCCTGCCTCCCCCAGCCCCACAGAATCCGCTCTGCCATGCCTGCCCACAACACCCTGGCTCTGCCACAGGCCACATTGGCAGCTCCCTGAGCCCCGCCCAGCCTTGGTCCTCAAGGCCCTCAGCCAGGTCACACACTCTGTGTGGCCAGGACAGGACAGGAGGCAAACTGCCCCAACAGTAACCCTAAACCCCCGGATCACACTCTGATGATGACCTCATGCCTGGGCTGATCTCCTCTAAGAACCTCATGACCCAGTGGCCTTCCAAAACTCCCAGCTCATAAGGCTCCAGACTTGGGGACGCTCAGACGTGGCCACGACAAGAGTAGCAGTGTTCCCCAGCTGTCTTGGTGTGTGGCCTTTCTGATGAACTAGACAGGGCAGGCAGGTGTCCTGGGCCATAGGTGCACATGGGTGCATGAGTCACCTCAGGGGCAAGGAGGGGCTGTCCCAGGTGCTCCAGCCGAGTGGTCCCCTGCCCTCGGGCTCCATCCATCCTGCTGGCCAGGATTTTCCTCCAGCTTCTCTTCCTCCTCTGGCATCCAGGGTCAAGGTGCTGAGCCTGAGCCTGGCCCACATCCAGCACACTGGGGTTCGCTTTAGGTCCCCTGAACTCATTCCCTTTGTGATAGGGTCCGGAGGCTACGCCGACAACTGCATTGGAGCGGTGTCAACCACAGGGCATGGCGAGAGCATCCTGAAGGTGAACCTGGCCCGGCTTGCACTCTTCCACCTGGAGCAAGGTGGGCAGGCCACCCCCGGGCCCCTGGGACACTGCATCGGCTGGTGGGAGGCGGGGGGAACCTCTCTCCCTGGTAGTGACACTACTCGGGGTGCTCCCCGCCTGACCCCCCTCTGTCAGCTTCCACTGTGACCCATGTCCCTTCCCAATCCTTCCCAGGAAAGACGGTAGACGAGGCTGCGGAATTGGCGCTGGGCTACATGAAGTCGAGGCTCAAAGGCTTGGGGGGCCTCATCATGGTCAGCAGAGCAGGGGACTGGGCAGCAAAGTGGACCTCGACCTCTATGCCCTGGGCGGCCGTGAAGGGTGGCAAGGTGCACTCTGGCATTGACGTGGGTGACACCACCGTGACAGACTTGTGCTGAGCTGGAGATGATGCCTGCAGGGCTGGCATAGCTTGATCAATTAGATGTGGAAGGGCAAATTCACCGCGTCTGTTCCTGCTTTTGTTCCTGGTCCATGAGCATCGGAATGTTTGCTTTTGGGCTCACAGAAGTCCAAGAAAGACTAACATCAGATCTAGTGGGATGGAGAGTGTCACAAGCTGAAGGACCTGAGCTAAGGCCATGGGCACCAGGGCAGGGGACTTGGGGTGGGTTGGGGCGAGCCAGTGATCCTCACCCAGGCAAACTGAAACATCACCCAGCTGATGTGAGGCATGAGACCTCCTGGCAACAGGTGTGGTTCCAGGCAAGAGGCACAGATTTTCTAAGGCCGCTCAGGTCGTGTGTGACCCACAGTGGCTTGGGCTCCCTACCCTACAGGACCCCCCCCCCAGGTCTCCCTGCCTAGTGTGAGGGTGCCGGTGGGGCTGCCGTCCTGCAGTCAGGGATTTCCTAGGTCACCCGGGGGCTGGGGGCCACGTAAGGGCACAGGGCTCTCGGCACACCAGCCTCCCCAGCAGCAGGGGCTGAGGGATGCAGAGGGGACGCAGGCCGGGCTGTGGTGCGTCCTGGGACAACCCTGCTTGCTTGCGGGGAGCGCGGAGGTCCGGGGCGGGGCGGGCGTCTCCGCCCCAGGGAGCTGCCCGGGTGCTTCCTTTCCTCCCGCTCGCGCGCCCAGAGTGTTGAGTGCCGTGTGGTGTGCCTGGCCGGCTCTGTCTCGGGCGTGGCGTCCTCAGCGAACACCTGCTGGGCCTGCCGTCTAGGCCCCACTAATAGAGTCAGAATGGAAGATGAGGTAACCACGAGTGCTGTGACCAGAGCGCTGGGGCCAGGGCCGCGGTCGTCCCCGCAGGGGTGTGGCCAGGGCAGCCCGAGGAACGCTTTGCTTCCCTGCGGCCTCGAGGTGCATCCGTTGACCTGCAAGTGACTGCGTTTGTCCTCCCGTGTGGCCAAGCAGTGCTCCACTGTGCGTGAACACCACGTCACCCCGCGCATTCACCTGCTGGCGGACAGTAGGCTGCCCCAAAGCTTAGCCATCGTGGACTGTGCTGTCATATGCTGGGTCTGCAGCTGTCACCAGAGGCACGGGCCGCTGGCTGGATGGCGCTTCTGCGGAGAGGCGCCCAGCAGTCGCCCGCCCGCCCGCCCGTGCGAGGGTCAGCCGCCACGCAGGCCCAGGCCAGCTCGTGCCCCTCACGTTCCCGTGGCCGCCGGGCCACCGCTCGGGCCTCCGGGCTGCGCCGCGAGGAAGGCCGGGCTT